CTTATTGTAAAAATGCTGGTCCTTGGACAACTCACTACTAAAATTAATAAAAGATAAAATCATTGGTAAAAGAAATTCCTTACTTATTATATTCCTGATCCTAATGCTTTTAAAATTGTTTGAATACTGATGCTTCTAATATTTGGTTTTATGGAGGCATTTTTAAAAACAAAGTAAAATGGTAAAGAAAGGATAAATCCAATATACTTTCAGGTCATTGGACTCTCAACTCATTAAATTATTCAGCTATTAAAAAGATAATTTTGAGTTTGTTATGTTTATAAATATAATTTTCAATCTGATCTTTTAAATCCAAAAAATTTTTACTTCGTTATTGATTGTCAATCTGCAAAGAATGTTCTGCAGAAAGGGATGTCCAAAAACCCTTGCTCTTCTAAAACAAATTTTGCTAGATTGGCAAGCAACTTTAAAAGTATTTTTGATTTGACATTAGAATATATTAAAGGCATGATAATAATATTCCAAGATTTCTAACTAGAGAAATTCTTAACACGAACCATGGGAAGAAGAGGATAAAGGGAAAGAAATTAGAAACAAGATTCCGGCTCCCCAACTAAAGCTCTTTCTGAGACTCTAGAAGACCTTAAAACCTTAGAACACTAAAAACCACTCCTCTAAAGATCTTAAAAATGGATTGAGGATACTTTCTCAATCTCCCGAAGTCATTAAGCCCTGCAGGGAATAGGCATCCTCTTCCACAGAAGGCCAGGTATGTCCTCTAAAATCTAAAGCGATCGTATCCGCTTATGATACGTGCTACCTCTGTCTCAACGTAGAACAGTAAAGAGTTATCAAATCCGTTGATGGCTGTGGATTTGGCCAAAAAATCAATATAAATATACTGGTAGTATACTATAAATGGTTTGATAATAAATTTATTTGAATTTTTGAAATCGAAGTTGAGGATGGATATAATTCATACCAATGCCTTGGCAAATTAATTAAAAAACTATTATCCTGAGAATTGGTAATTGATGAATTAGATTCAACAACCAGTTCATCCGAATAAAATATTTTTGTATTATACAGTATCTTTGTATTTCTAGTAAAATTCCGTAGTATATACTTATTTGATAAACAGTACTTATTTTTAAAGATGATGATCAGTTTTAAACAATAATGAATTTTACTTCAGAATCAACATACAAATTTATAATTTTCTGATGTGGAAGATCACACTAAGGTGCAACCACAGAGCATACTTATACAACATACAATTTTACGCAAGAAATAGTAGAGCTAGGTTTCCCTTATCTCTGCTTCGTCACAAGGTCACACAGGCACTGATTTAAAAATCCCAAATTGGTTTAAACGATGGTGGCAATTTAAGGGAATTTCAGAGGAAATCATTCCTCATGATATCCTTTATTTGTATCAGTTAGCACAGCACAAGTAATCAAACAATGCTTTCAAAGTAATACACCAAATACATCCAAATGTACAATCATAAATATAATTATATAGTAACAGTGACATAATATATATTTAGGAAATAATTACTATGCAAATGCAATGTTGATATGCATTATTTATTATTACTCACAGTGAGGGAGAGCGAAGTCCTAGCTTTGATTCTGTCCTGGAGGAGCACTAGATGGACCTGGGCGATCTAAGCAAAGTAAGAATGACACAAAAAGAAATAATTATATCAGACAAAATATCTCCTTACCCTTCTAAGAATTTTATTTTATATTCTAAATTTTTCTACGTAATTTAATCTCGATATCTAATTTCTTTTCTGTACTAAAATTTTATCTTTCTATCTAGCTCTATTTTATTTGTTTTCGTTTGAATTATATTTTATTTCTTATTTTATTTTCTATTAAAATTTATTTTATTTTCTATCAAAATTTATTTTACAGTATCTTCCCTTAAAAATTGGACTTATCTTTACCTGTAAAATTATCAACAATATAATCTAATATTTCCAAACTCCATCGGGCAATCAATCAATCAAATTTCCATCCTCCATCAATCTCAAAATCACCACAGAATCCAAATCATATATTACAATAACATTATATTTAAACTATTTTAATTAAATCACACTAAAATTACAAAGCTATTAACTACTCACATTTATCAAATTAAATTAATTACATTAATTCACTACAAAACAATAAGTTTAATTTAATTAACTAATCATCACTAACATTAACTTAACTAAACTTAACTAAACTCATTAAAAACTCATTAATTACAAATAATAAAATTAATTCATTACTAAATTAATTAACTACAATTAATAAACTTAATTTAATTAACTAATATTATTAACATTAACTAATTCAACTAACATCATTAAAAGTAAACTAACTAAATTTAATTAACTATCATTATTAATATTAAATTAATTAACTAAAATATATTTAATTATCTAATATTATTAAATTATTTATCTAAAATTATTAAAATTGATTATCTATTTAATTATACCTATAAAAAAAAAAACAAAAGCTGCTGGAATTATTTGACCGGAAATGGAGGCTGGTGGCCGGAGGTGCACTGGAGCAGCAGCAGAGCTGCTGTGACGCCGGCGGGGGCGACCGGTCGACGTGCTGGAGCGGCAGCAGTGGCAGTGGCGATGGCGTGATGAGCTGGGTGAGGCGCGGCGCTTGCTCGATCGAGGGCAGAAGGAGCTGACGCTGCACGATCTGGCAGCGAGTGGAGCTGCTGGCAGTGGCGCGCGGAGGAGCAGCGAGGCGACGGAGGCGGTGCGACTGGAGGCGTGGAGTGGCGGCGAGGGCTGGGTGGCGCACAGCGAACCTTCTGTCTCTCGCCAGTCACACAAAGACAGACGCAGGGAAGAAGGAAGGAAAAGGAAAGAAAGAAAGAAAAGAAAGAAGAAGAAGAAGAAGAAGAAAAAGAAAAAGAGAAGAGAGGGAGGAGGGGAGGGTGGTGCTGGGGAGCTGTGGGTCCACCGGTGGACTGACTGGAAGTTGGGTAGAAGGTGAGGGTGAGCGTTTGATATAGAGAGGAAAGAAAGAGCTTCAAAGATGGTTTGGGTCGAACCGGTTTTCGATTCGGCCCAAATGCTTCCCAAATCTTCGATTTCTAACTGGTTTTTGGCTTTTTCAATCGGTTTTCGATTCGATTTCTCATAGCATTCGCACTAAAATATTTATATTAATTTTCAGACTGTCAGTTCATTAAATTTAATTGAATAACTTTTGAAAATAAAAAATTCGGGTTGTTTCAAATACTCTTCCCAATATTTATAAAAAACAAAAAGAAATAATTATCTAACATTAAATTCATTGATCCAAAATAAATCGTTTACAATCTTAATAATAATAATTTATTTTATTATTAAAATATTGATAATGAATTTATTCAAATGAAAATATACTATATATATACACATACAACTGTTATGAAATTAGTGGATGTCCTTGTAAGCTAGAAGTCTATATTCAAAATCAGTCTACAAGTCTATTTAATTTAGAAGTTTATTCCTTAATTATGTGTGGCTTTTCATCAATAAAAATCACTTTCATCTTTTGCTCTCCATTCCTTCTCTTTATTCTCTCTTGTTTTATATTATTGTATAATAACAACATTTTATTATCTTTCTATGCATTTTTAAAAATTAAGAAAGTCAAATTACATAACTCAAATGTTTGATTTAAATTTTTTCTCTAATTTTATTTAATAATAAACTAATTTTTCCAATGTATATAATCAAATTATATGTCATGTATTTTAATATGCCTACTAATGTCACATCTATTTGATTTAAAAATATATAATAATAATCAAGCGAAAAAAAATGTCATTACTGTTAAAAAATTTATAATGATCTTTTTTTTTTTTTTTTTTTATGATCTTTTTTTTTTTTTTTTTTTTTTTTTTTTTTTTGTTCTTTGCTAAATCAATTTTTAGAACTATTGCGGTCAAAATTTTATATATTATATATACTATTGTATTTTTACTTAATCTTAATTTAATTTATAATTTTTAACTGTAAAATAAAGGAATATAAATAATAATTTTTTTACTTTTAATTTGTAGTTTAATTATTAGTTTTTTATTCTAAATTCATCTTTTCTTTTTTGAAAACATCCATATTATATATTTATCCATGAAAATATTCATTTATGATTTTTATTTAATTTAAAATGTCTACTCACGCAAGTTTATAGATTTTAAATTTAACTTGAAAAATTATTCTTACGTTAAATTATTTTTATAATTTTCATAAATAAAATATTACTTTATGTATATATAAAATTTTATAATTTTAACATTTATTGATTAAAAATTTAAATTATATAAAAATTTATATACTATGAATTTCATAAACTTTAATTTATGTAAATCGAAAACTATATTTTGTAGTTAAAATATCTTAACGCATTTAAAAAAGAAAAATAAAACAAAGTCATTGTGACCTGCTATAGTAACATATGTTATAAAAATAGACTTTTGTATCGGTATAGAATTCTTTGATTCTCTATTGAAGTAAAAGCCTTTGTATATCGTTAATATAATTTTTATATTTTGAATATAACTTTTGAATAATAATTTTTATATTTTTAACTATTCAATAAATATTCAATAAATATTTAATCGAGTTAATTTTATAAATTAAAGTGTTTAAAAGGATCAAATAAAGTATTTGATAAGTTCAACTTTAGAAGTTAAACTGTTTAATAGATAAAATAAAAGTTAAAAAAAATAAAGAAATATTTTTCTGAGAAATTGGCCAAATTAATTATTTTTCTAATAAAAGGATAACTGAGAAAAATACTTTTGGTGAAACACAACCTTGTTGAAGGAAAATTTTACATTTTCCATTAAGTATATAAAATAAAATAAAATATCATTTTTTGGATCAGAAGTCATCGTTAATCGTTTTTTAAATTCAAATGTATCCCATCTACTCTTTTTTTTTTTTTTTTTTTTTTTTTTTTTTTTTTTTTTTTTTTTTTTTTTTTTTTTTTTTTTTTTTTTTTTTTTTTTTAAATACAAACAGTATCTTAACTAATCAATTTTATTACATGAGAAAAAGAAAAATCGAAAAAATTAATACAGACAAGAAAAATCGAAAAAATTAATACAGACTGAATACATGGGAAGAGCTTTTGAGTTCGATCACTACTAAATGCATCTGCAGAGAGGGATGGGGAACTTTAATTGTAATTAAGCCCCGAACCAAATTAAGCGGTCTCTATTAATAAGTTCAAATATCAGTGGTTAAAAAAAAAAAAAAAATCAATCTTGAATATTTTCCATAGTAGGCCAGCCTAGATCAGCTTGTGACTTCACAAATTCGGCCAACATCTTAATCTCTTGGTCCTGCAAACGTGGCCCAAAAGTACATTGACCCCTTGGACTGCAATTCTCCCCAAATCCCTGCAATGTAATACAACAAGACCGCATTTGGTAGAAAACTTAAACATAATAAAGCCCGGTTAATTTCAGCCGTCATATACCTAAATTATAGAGATAATCACATTGTCTTGCCCCTAACTCAATTTGTCACATAAACGTACATCAACTTCTATTGAGATAACAATAGAAATTTACTTATATTTAGGTGACAAATTGAATTTTAATTACGACAATGTGATTGTCTTTATAACGAAGGTATTTCTGGTGAAATTAATCCTAATAAAGCTACATAATTGCTTCAGGGTATATTCATCAAACCATTAAAATAAAATATAATGTATTATATAACCATATCTAAAAACAAAGGCATTTTTTAGTATGTAGCATATCTTATTAACTTAATCTAAACTTAAATGTGGATAAATATGTCTCATAGATACTTTTTTTTAATATAAATCTCAATTCTAATTTAATTTTGGGTGTAAAATACTTTGCAGCTTTCATTTCAAGATGCGTTTTGCAAAAAGTTTAAATTATGATGCAGTTGAAAAAAATCGCAAAGTTGAGAATTTTTCTACTTGTTAAGTGAAATTATTTTGTCAATAATATCCTAATTCTTTTTAATATAATTAATATTAGTTTTTCTAAGTTGGGGAAAAACAAATACATATAAGATACTATAAAAAAAACAGAAACTTTTGCAACAAATTAGACCATAAAAAATAATAAAAGAAGGGTAAAAGTTTAAATACTGAATGTGGAAACTCACCGGCATTCTTCCCTTACCGAAGTAAGTAATGCGATATATTTCTTCTTCTGTCTCCACTCCATTCCTGTGCGTAGAAACATTCCATTTTTTTTTTTTTTTAGTATAAAACATAATACATATATATGCTTTTAAAATTCAAAATTTAAAAAAATATATATATATATAGCCATACTAAGGAAACGCTTTTCCGTTTGTGGAGCAATCTCGGTTATTATTGTTCTCTTGTTTGTTATTTTTTGCACCCATTTTTATTTCTCTAATCTATTATCAAATTTAGTTATTATTAATGATTAATTTTGTATTTTTTTTTTCTTTAGAATTTAGGGTCTGTTCGGTAATTTTGATTGTTCTAATAGTTGTTAGCTGTTTTAATAGTTGTTAGTTATTTTACTAGTGGTTAGCTGTTAGATATTAGTAGTTAGTAGTTAGCTATTTATATAGCGATTTAGAATAAAAGTGTTTGATACAAATAACTGTTTTATCAGCCATTTAATATAAAACAACAAAAAAGGATACGAAAGTGGGGAACAAGGTGAAGACAAATGATAGGTATATATATGATAAAAAAATTATAAAACGCTAAACGTTGATGATAAAAATAACATTTTATGAAATACGGTCTCAAACTCTAAACACGAAATTGTATTACCGAACATTATAATTAATTAAGATAGTGTTTTGATCCAATTAAAACACTAAACACTAGTTCAAATACTGTTTCCAAACAAGGCCTTACAATTTTAAGTCACCTTTCTAACTGTCTAATATGCTTTCAAAATTTTTTTAACAGCAATCTTTGATGATGCTAGTATTTAAAAACATGCCATGTTGTTTATACTCTTTATCATAATTTAACTTTTTTATATGTATCTTTCTATTAATTTTTTAGAATATAATATTGTATATGATTTTCCATTAATTTTGCCTATAATATAATTTATAAACCATCTATATTAATAAAAATCTGAAAATATAATCAAATTTTAAAACCATGGGACAATTCAAGTTGAGTTGAGAATTATTGTTTTAAATTGAAAAATGAAAAACACAATTAAATTCATTTAATGTAAAATTTTGTTTATAATAAAAAAATTAGATAAAAATAAAATCAATAGGTTTTTCCTTTTTAGAAATCAACTAGATCTTAATTATTCATGCATTATATTACGTCAGCCCTTCAAATTAATCAAAAACAAAATAGTAATGTAATAAATCTATAACCATTTAATTAAAAGTCCAAATTCAAATATTTATTATTGCTTATACTAAAATATAATGGCTAAATGCATAAATTTACCCCTAAATTTTGTAACTTTAATCTTATGGCACCCTGAACTTTGCGAATGACCTATCATGCATTTGAAGTTGTAAATTTTTGTAATATTACACACTTTTCGACACTAATATCAATATTTTTTAGGATTTTTGGCTTTTATCTATAAAATATCAACTTGATATGTAGTTAGCATGACTTTTGGAATAATAATTTTCATAAATTTTAACTTTTTAATTAAAATATCACTTGATATGTAGTTTAGCAATGACTTTGGAATAATAATTTTCATAAATTTAACTTTTTAATGAGTGTTTTAATTTGTCTATTTTTACGTTTAATTGTTCTAATTTTACAAGTTGAAGTATTTAATAAAATAAATTTAAAAACTAAAGGTTTAATAAGTGCAATTTTATAAGTTGAAATATTTAATTGATCAAAATAAAAAATTGAAGATGCAATAAGATTAAATTAACAAAGTTCAAGGATAAATTTATGTATGTCATCAAAATATAATAGTTAACCATAACTTAATTGTTAAATTAAAGTATAAAAAATTCATGGCTTACCTTTGTAAATCCTTCAGAAAAAGAGTGGCACCCTAAAATGAAATGAATAAGCAAGGATTAAATAGCATTTGTAATAAATTTATTTACTTTCTTTTAAAATACATTTATCAATAATAATCTTTATCATTGAAGGTTTATATTTAAGCTATAGAAATTATTTTAAAATATTTAATTTTATTAATTTATAATTAAAATTTTATTAATTTCAGTTAAGTAGGATTTACTTTAGAATAGTTAACTATGATTGAATCATAATTTATACGTATTAGATATATTAAAGAAACTAATTTAAAATAGTAATATTTATTGAAAATCATATAAAATAAATAAGTTAAAAGTAAAAGTAAAAGAAAAACAGTTACCGGTTGAATAATGTTTCCACCGCCGTCGTGACACCCAATGCAAGAACGATTAAACAGCGTTGCACCCTTTTGTATATCTGCGGTGGTTTGTGCTGCTGACTCTGCATCCACATAAATTAGAGCCTCTTTTATAATTAGAATTCGATTAGTAGATGAGTATTTTCCTTTTTTGTAAAATTTCCAATTTATTTTTAATAAATCATATGTAATAAATATAATCTAATGTAATATAATACACTTGTCATGCTTATAATCTTTTTTGATAAAAAAATAAATAGCCTAGGTTGTTTAAGTCAAGTCAAGTTAACCTGAAATTTAACTTTTTTTTATTTTTTTATTTTTCAATCCTTTTTAACAGTTTTTTTGGGAGTACCTAAGGTTCCATTTGTCTCCAAATTACTTACTTTTTATTATTTGGTTGTAATATTAAAAATTAATTAAAAATATTAAATTAACTCGTAAGACAAATAATAATAATAATACAAATTTTGTATTTTAAAAATATTATTATTAAATATAAGAATAATGAAAAAAATGGTAAGTTACGAAAGTCGTCGGTGATCAGTGATGGTAGCCGGTGGTGGTGACTGGTGATGAATGATGAATAGTGGTAATGAATATCAATAATTAATAAATTAAAAAGATATGAAGTTATAAAGTTATAATAAGTTTGTTAAAAGCCGAAAAATATTTTATGCTTTTGAAAATGAGAAGTCATTTTCTTTAAAAATGAATTAATTTCCTTTGATAAGGAAAATATTTTCCGTTGACTTATTTTTCTAAACGTTGCCAAAACAACAGAAAATTGTGAAAAATATTTTTTTATAAATTATTTTATAAGAACAAACAAAACCTAAATTTTAAATTTTATTTAGAATGAAATTAATCCCATTCAGATTTATAATTGTCATTCTCCATAAATACTTTTCCACATATCACCGTCTTCGTGGAAAATTTCACTATAAGCATACATTACCATATAAGTCACTCTTATAGGTTTTATTTTAATAGTTTAAGCACTATGTAATAACTAATTTCCAAGAAATGCAATTTAGTTATCTTAATAGTTTAAATTTTATATATATATAGTTATCTTAATAGTTTAAATTTTATATATTATATAATATTATATATAGTATAATTAAAGTTTTATATTAAAAGTTTTTTATAATATTTTTTAACTTAAAAACATTATTTTAACTACAAAAATTCTAAAAATAAAATTTTGAATTGTGAAAAACTAAGAAGTAGATAAAATTCATTAAAATAGCGAAGAGGACAGGATTATTGAAATCTAAAATCAAGTGGACAAGAATACCTGGGGCGTTGCAGATAGGAGATAAGGCTATAAGGGCAGCCATTAGAGGTGGAGCCAAGCTCTTCACAAACTTCATCTCCTTATGCCTCTGTTTCACAATAACTTGCTTCTCGTTTCCCTTCCAACCACATATATCCTTATTAACTGTTTAGAAGTTAGAAAAAATTGCAGCTTTCAAGGGAGAGAGAGAGAGAGAGAGAGAGAGAGAGAGAGAAGTGTACCGTTGATAAGAGAGAATTGTACGGTCCATTTCTATAGCCAGAAATGACTGACAGAATCTGCATCTTCTGATGGGATTCAAAATGTAGTAGCAAGCCTATTTGTGGGTGCAGCTAGCTCTAATATAACATTGTCCTTTTTTTTTTTTCTTCGCATATAAAGCATAAAAAGGGGTATTTTACATTAACAGCATATAATAGTACTGCAGATGACACATTCTAACTCGGTCCAACTTAAATTATTCGATTCGATTCAATTCTACTAATTTCAAAGCATAATGTGCTGGATTGAATCAATTATTTTTAATGATTTTCATGGTTTGGCTGAACTGCGAATTTACTAGTTAAATCCACAAACTCATCTCAACTCGTAAATAATAACAATTTTGTGATTATGAATCTTTTGAATTAATTTAGTTTGGTGAAATATCAAATTTTGAAATGTTGCTAGTAGAATATATTGTAGTTTGTGAAACTTATTATATAATTGTATTACTAAGGAGGTGTATTGATTAGGATTATGTAAAATTTTAAAAGAATTGTTGAGTTTGATGAAATTGAAGAATTTCCTAAGATTTTTACATATTCTAATAGAATTCTATATAAAGTTTGATGGAATTGGTGAGACTTTTTTTGTAGATTTTAATTGACTTTGATAAAATTACAATGATTTTTATATATTTAATAAAAATTAATTTCAGGACTTAATTGAATAAATTAAAAGATTTTAGAGTCCAATTGAAAAACTGAAAAATAATGAGGGAACCAAAAAGTAACATATGTCTTCTTCTCCAAAATCGATTTTTTTCTTCATTATAATTTTACTGCCAATAATAGTGAAAGGCCTGTAATTGCCAACGTCGGCAGCGGCCACCCTGTGCTCCCAAAATAGTCATAATATGATCAGAAGACCATATATTTCTCGTCTCATCGGAAAATTCCATATATCTCGTCTCAATCGGAAATTCCAATATATATATACTATAATCTAATAATATATATATATTATATATATATATATATAATAGAAAATCAGCGACTACCATTAGCCAAGACCAATGCCAACTGCCAGAGCTCACGTAAGGATGCGGCAGACATTGAGATAGGCCCAATGCTTACGACTCATTTAGTCTAGCGATTCTCCACAACAATGATAGATTGTATTCTTCAGTTTTTCAATTATTTCAAAGTTTTTTCAATTTTTTTTATTTGATTGAATCATTATTTAATTGAAATCAACCCATAAAAATTTTTAAAAAAATAATCAAATTAATTTTGAAAATTTACAACAGCATTAATATTAATTTTTGTCAAAATATAATTTTTTTGTCAAAATATCAGAATTTCAAACACATGATTTAATTGAAATCAACCCATAAAAATTTTTAAAAAAATAATCAAATTAATTTTGAAAATTTACAACAGCATTAATATTAATTTTTGTCAAAATATCAAATTCTCAACACATGAATTAATTTGAGACTAATCCAATAATTAATACATTATTCTACACCTTAAGGGTAGTGATGGAAGTGATACAAGTATTTTAGGGTACCCGCTTCAGTCCGATCCATTTAAAGACAATATGGATAGTTATAAATGGGTTTAGAACGAATATTATGAAATTACTACCCGTAACGGATATAGGTAGCGAAATTACTATCCATAATAGATACAGATAGAACATATATATAGATATATGGATATCCATTGCCCATTAACCGCTATATTAAATAGATTTGAAAGTGCTACGGGTACCTATCCATTATTAGTAAAAATGTATTTCAAATAAGTCCGAATTTTGATAGTTTAAGATTTACGGGTATACTACCCATTTAAGAGGTACTTTAAACAAATTTTAAACATATACAGATAGTAAAATTTAAATGGGTTCAAATATGAAAACTTAAATGAATATTTAAATGAGTTTAGAACGAATGCGAGTAGTAAAATTTTAAATGAATACCTATATAGGTAATTTAAAATTTGCGAATACCCACTCTATTTCCATCTTTAATAAGGGAGTATTAAATTAAAACTCTGTTAGATTTTAAAAGATTTTTTTAAATCTTTGGGTTGGAGGATGAATTTGTGAGGAACTCTTTTATCCATACTTTGCAATTTAAAATCCTACAAAATCAATAATTTTATAAAATCCTTCAAAATCAATAACTTTTTAAGTACCATCACATTTGTAACGGATAGAATCACCGGTTCGAACCAGTTCAAACCGGCATTTCTAACCGGCCGGAAAACCAACGGTTCCATCCGGTTCCAACCGATTTTTGGCACCGGACCGGTTTTTGGAACCGCTGGTTTGCGATTCCCAAAATATTGGAACCGGAACCAAACCGTATACCTCCAGTTCCAATTCCAATTCCCACCAGTTCCGGTACTAGGAACCATAGTATGGCCATGCTTACATTAAATGTTAACACTCGAGCTGAACAGTATTTGGATGAGCAAGCGAGAGTTTATCAGCAGTTTTCCTGTGCAAGTGCAGAACTTTTTATACAATAAACAACGATATGGTCACGGTTACAAGCAACATATATGCACATTACAAGATTTACATACAACATCATCTCAAGCAACCCAGCAAATTTGCACCAGGAACTCGAACAATAATTCAATTTCAAGCATCAACAGACACACCAACAGCATTTAGCTGAATCCGTTGCTTACCCTCATTCTGAGGATGAACAATCACAGTCGCGTACGCTTCTTCCGGTAAAGATTTACCATCTCCGGCACAAGAAACAGATTTTGAACTCACTACAAGCCTTCTGTCAGCCATGTTATTGTTGTCAACTTGATCTCCTGAGACGATTTCCCATTCCTCTTTGAGAGATGTAAATTGCAAGCCTTTCTCTTTGTGCATCCCAATTTCGAAAGAAGTGGGTAGAATCACATAATCATTGAGCGGGTTGTAGTAAGGATCCGGTTCACCTGCTTTTAGCCAGTGTTTAAGAATTCTAAACACATGGTGATCGCTTAGAATTCCCCGGTGCTCAGCAGGGACACCAACCCGCGCTTCTGCATTGAGCCCATCTGCCTGGAAATAGACAAAAGAGAAACAGGCTTTAGAGAGATCAAGTCTTTTGCTCAGAAAGTCAAGATACCTAGATTTGACATATGGAAGAGTATCCAACAGAAGAAAAAAAAAAAAAAAGCTTCTACAAAATTCTTTGGGAGCTAAACAAAATAGTGTTTTAGTAAGACCTTTGACAAAAGTCAACTTTAAGCCATCAAGAATGCATTTTGTTCAAGAGGAAATTTTATTCAGAGGAAAACAAAAATAGATTAAATGTCAAGGGTAAAATATTATCCATCCTACACAAAATAAAACAAAAATAACACCTGATGACAAGTCTCCATCTGTTTCAAGCAAAAAGATCTTTTTTCCCCGAAGAAATCGTCTTTTCTTTTGTTACAATTAGAAAAAGCAGTTGATGCAAAATGTTCCAAGTTAAAGCCTCAGCCATTTTAATGGAATACTTGCCAAACAATTTTCACATACTGTTCATCTAGGACGTGAAGGAATGTACTAAAAGTATAACTCTTGGGCCAGCAAGTCACTAACGGGAATGTAAAATATCAAGGGGAAATTATAATCGTTCTTGTATTTTGCGAAAAGTTACTAATTTGTCCTTCTGTTTTGAAGAATAGACAACTTTATCCCTATCTTTTCTACCATTATACACTATTGTCCTTCAGTCAAAAAAATACAACTTTTGCCATTAAGAGCCTTATAAAGAGACAAAAATACTCTTAAACCCACTCATACTCAAATCTCTATCATCTTCATGACCAAAATCCACCATTGCTACTCAACCCCACATCATTGCAACTTTCATCTCCATTAATGCAGAAGGAGAATAAGAATTAAGTGTAGAGAAGGAAAAGGGGTACTTTTGTCTTTTCACAAGGCACTTAACAGGCAAAATGTTTTTTTATAAAGGATAAAGGTGTATAACGGGAGAAACATAGAGATAAATTAGTCCATTTTTCAAAGTAATAACTTTTGGCAAACTATGGGGACATGTAACTTTGAGAGTTGAGACTAGACAACAAACAAGGTAGTAAACATTAAAAAGACCATACTATATCTTGGGGGAAAAAAATTTTTGGATCCCTGTATTATAGCTAAACTCATACATGGATCCTTCTATTTTCATGAATTGAGTGTGGGGTTCCTGATAGTGAAACTAACATATAGGTCCTCAATCCAAAACGTCCGTCAATATAGGAACCTTAGTTTGAAATGGAAGCATAATTTAGGAACCTATGTTTTAATTTCGCTATAATTTAGGAGAGAATTTTTTTCTACACAAGGTTATTTCCATCTTCTCCATATGAATTGATGGACAAATGATGGATTTTTAGGACAGAGGGACCTGTGCTAGTTTCATTATAATTTAGGGACTCTGCAGTTAGTTCTTGAAAATAGAAAGACCTGTGTTAGCTTCCTGTAATTTAGGGACATGAAATTTTTTCCCCTTATATCTCATCAACAAATTATTGACAAAAAAATAGTGTTAGAAAACTATGAAAAAGTTCACTCTCAGCAATAATTCAGAAAATATCAAATTGAATGAGTCACACAAAGGAAAGTGGAGCAAACCTTGGCTGATTCAGCAGGAACTGTCCCATCACCATCAACACATACATATGTAGGCTGAAAATTTGAAACATAAGTCAGGTTCCACACAAAAGTCAACTTTCACCGCCAAATATTCGCATTCACAAATTTCTTCAAACAAAACTAGCATCTGATAGCAACTGAAATTATTGCCCCCGAAACCACACAGTATTAGATAAAGTGCAGAGTATAAAATAATGACCTGGAAAAATCGCAGTCCCTTGACATCCCGGACAGGTGCCTCCTCACTTCCATAGCTGCAGAGGATCAATTAATAATAGATAAAGTGCCAATGTAATGTCAACAAGAATCTATGGACTCAAATGGTAGAGAGAAAAAAAACAGGGGAGAATGGTATAACTAGAGAATCAGACCTCACAAAGATAACACCAGAAATAGAAGCTGTGAAGATTTTACAACTTAAATATTATTCTGATTCGCAGGTAAATTACATCAACTTGTAGACTTTATGTAGACTATATGTATTTGTTCTCTTAATTGTCTAGAGAAATTAAAAGTTAGAATTCATGTGCAACAAATTTTAACTTCAAGCACGCAGCCAAGTTCCCAAGCACAAGTGAAATAGCAGTCTCATATACTTGCACAAGAAAATTAAACCAAATAGAAGATCCATGGACTGCTACTACCACTAACTTTCCAAACTATTTTCCTTTCTCTTATTCAATTCATGTTCAACAACTGTGTCATGTGCCTAGAAAATCCAAATTGCATGAGTACCAGTCCCCTATATAAAAATTAAAGAGTTCGAATACATCCAAAATAATAGAAAGAAAAACTTGGCATTGACTAGTGAGCATAAAATAAAACTTTTTTGATCTTGACAATTTGTTCATATTATTATCCTGCAAAGCTAGGGTTTCATTGGTGAGGTCTGAGATTATGCGAAGCGTGGATAAAAGCAAGCATTACCAGACACTGTGAGGAGTCTCAAGGTTGATCCCATATATATTGTAGAATTTAACTTGAGGAGGAACTTTAGCAGAAGACAAAACCTTCTTTGTTTCATTAGCCCATTTCAAGATCTCTAGGTTAAAAGGTAGAGGAATATCCGTTCCATCATAATTGACCTGAAATAAGAAAATTTATACATTACGGGCCAAACACACAGTCATGCACATCTCTTAATTTTTTTTAACATAACTCATGACAATAACTGCTTAGTGCCTAAAATATGTGAAACCTAAACATGTCTCTCGGATAAATATAATTTCTAGATCATGATTGCCAAAGAAAAGTTAAGTAATGTAAGCACCAAAATAGGTTCTTTTGGTTCTTGCACCTTAAATAAAAACATCAGATCAAACATATTATTGATCAATTATTAATAACAAATAGTTAGTTCTTGAGAAGGTGAAATAACGTTCTTAAAATATAAAAAAAGCTCAATAGTCCAAAGATTACAGACATTTAGCTGAAGAAACAAATATATTTTCATGATAAGGTCATCTAAAGCTTATAAATCAGCAATATAAACTATATGGGTTTTAAGCTCACCGTGTTAGTAGAAAGAGCTTCCTTGAAAACTTCGATAATCTCTTCAGGAGAATATGACTCTAGAATCATCTGAGAGCCGCCATCATTATCTTGTTTCTCTTTCCAGATCTCCAGAAGAGGAATGTATTGCCAATTAAAATGTGGACATGACATTAATTCATATATTGATGGACATTCAATGAGCTGAAAAACCACAACATAATACATAAAGATAAATAATGAGCTTATCCATTATTCACGCAGATAATACGTTTTAAGTCACCAAAGGAGAGAATTTTCTTTGAGAAGGCAGTGACAGCATCTTAAAAATCAGATTGAGAGAAAATCATTGTTGGCATTGACTATTCAGCAGAGAGAAGAAAACAATACTATGTGTGAACATAAAAATGGAGGGCAATACCCAACTATTCTCTACAATATACATTCTTGTGGATCAAAGTGACATCTGAATGTGGGCCATTTCTTGCCACATTCAGAAGATGAAAGTCAAAATGCAGATATAAGCCAAGAAAAGAATGAAATTGCTTTTAGTATTAGAAAAATAGAAAGAAACGTTTCGACGTTCCCATTTTCTTCCACAACTTCTGATAGATAGATCAGGTGATCATTCAGAACTGAGAGATAGTTTCTAAAAGGAAAAAAAAAAAAAAAAAAAAAAAAAAAAAAAAAAAAACTAGAAAGAAACGGTTCGACGTTCCCATTTTTCTTCAAACTTCTGATAGATAGATCAGAGTTGAATTCATTCAGAACTGAAGAGATAGTTTCTAAAAGGAAAAAAAAAAAAAAAAAAAAAAAAAAAAAAAAAAACCATTATGGGTAAGCCGCGTCAAAAAAAAAAAAAAAAAAAAAAAAAAAAAAAAAAAAAACCATTATGGGTAAGCCCGTCAAAATATTCCAGATGACAAAACATACCTTGAAGTCATAGAGTAAATAAATAACAGAACAGCCCTAACAGAATCAACTTTGAATATCGTTCTAATTAAATATTTACTGATAGCGTAAAAACGAAATTCTAATAAACAAGTAATTTAAAATGCCAAAATAGGTGAACTCTCACCAGCTGATGCATGCTCCACTTTGATATAAAAAAATTCTGCTCCCATCCTTCAACAAATGACATCCCATTAAGAAAAGTTGATGTGACATACCCAGGTGCACCTGTTGGATAAATACAACATTACACTTGCAACTTCATTTCAACAAAATTCAAGTATCACATCTTAGTATAAATTGTCCAAATAATCATAGATGCGCAAATGGAAGACTAAAAATAAACATAGAGCAAAGTAACCCAGACAAAATTTTAATAGACTCCTATAAAGTGATCCATTAATGGAAGTACAAATTTTACGCCATGGAGTTAATGTTTATATTTAAGCATAGAAAATATTTCATTTAAAGATTCTGCAAGTGGTCCAACCAAAAAACTTAAATTGCAATTCTAGATTATCATATATCTAGAATATTATTTTTCCCATATGCGATACAAGAAGATTGAAAGTTCATATCTACTTAAAATGTGTCCAATAATCCATGTTAAGCAACTATTAAACTTCTCAGGATTAATTTTTTCGGTTTTGCATTGATTAAATTCAAATAAGAATACTCAGTAAAACAAATCATAGTTAATGTGTTAATTAATAGTAAAAAAATTTCCCTAAATTTTAACAAAAGCGCTAACATGGTTTAATACTATCATCACCACCATACCATAAACATCAATTCAACTACCATGGTTGTCACTTATTACCAGCATCACCACAACTACAACCTCCAACATCACAATCACAACCTCCATCACTTTCATATCACCAAATTATCACACCCACCTTCCTCCCCAATTTCTACCATTAAAATCACCACCACAAACATCACAGCAGCCAACATCATCATAGACCGTTACTAATTCTTTAGGTAATATAACTAAAATCATTGTTTTTTTTCAATTCAGTTTTATATTTCAATTCTTAAATTTCAGCAACAAAATTCTATTTTTGAATGTTCTGTTAAATGCCACCTTAATATGAATGAATGATATGCCATTAACAGCATCATTTCTATTTAAGTATAGCACTTTCACTTCTCTTTACAGTTCTCTCTCCCTTCTTATTAGAAGGCCAACCAAACATTTGAATAAACGTAATGACTGAACAAATAATAAACTACAGCAAATAGTTTTTCTTATTTGAAATTTTCTAGTTCTCATTTTTATCATGATGACTTGATTCCATTCCCTATCATGCAATTGATTCCATTGCCTACACAAGGTCACCCATCTGTACTTTTGAAGTGGCTTGTAATTAGTGAATAATAGCCCTTTTATTCCTTTCTAATAATATCTCCTGTCCATCTTTTTTATGCTTTATCTTCTTTTTCCCATCCTTCTCTTTCAGGTTCCACAACATTCACTCAGACACTCTAACTCCTAGTTTTACAACAAACTTGCAGAAATATAATTTATGTTTTCAGCTTGAGGCAATGGATGAGCCAGAAGTCTGAACATGGTGATGTTGGACCTTGTCCACAAAAAAAAAAAAAGTTTAATCACTTCAGAAACTGTACAGATTTTGCAGAGCCCGAAAGATGCAGAGTAGCACAGCCACTAAGACCATCCAGTGGTTACCAAATTGTCTAATACTCACTTACCCCGGAAAGGTGCAGCAATAGCAATCCAATTATTCACATATTTCTCGAAAATCTGCGATAAAAAGGCAAAAGCATTCAAGGTATTCATTAAAGAGAGGGAAAGCATAAGTTCATCTACTAGACAGAGAAGAGAAGAAGAAGAAGAAGAACAAATGAAAAAAGAAAAAGATAAGCCAGAAAAAAAAATGCAGGGTTGTTACATCAGTATGCAAGGACATGAAACATTTAACTAGAAGACCGCCCATAGAATGGCTTATGATGTTAATCTTCTTCCCACCAGAAGCATTATATATGGACTCCAATTTTTTAGCAAAGCACTCCATTGTATCTGCCAACCTAATTACAAATAAACCATAAGCATACATATTAACCTATGAAAACATATCCATTAGAAAGCCAACGTCATTGAACAGATAGCAAAATCAAGAGAACAAAAAGACTTCCAACAATCATATAAAAGCAAAATCAGAACATTGAGTTTTACCCTTTCTTCTGGGTATTGAGATTGGAACCAGACAGAAAACCAGTGGTTCCAACTGTTGTTGAACCTTGCCGGCCCACTGAACCAGAAACACTGGTTTAGTGAATCGGCCACTCTAACTTTCAAGAAATAAAATATATAAAAAAAGTTTCATTTTCAATGATTATCAATCAATTGTCTGCAAAAAGGTTAACTGTAGCTACCACGCGAGTATTGATTCCAACAGGAGAGATTGAAATATAGTTTTACATTTATTCTCTTTTTGGAAAGATACCTTGACTCACTACTCCAGCCAATCTGGCACTAGATTTTCTCTCTTTAAGGTACATCATGCTTCTCAAATTGATCATAGTTGTAAAATGAGGCAAACACACCATAATTATTAAACATTATTCCCCACTACATTTCATAAAACTGTAACAGTTACATTTTAAATCTTTTATATTCATTACAAATTAAAAAAAAAAAATAATAATCAAAAGACTTTTTGGTCAAGTACTGCAAATATTAAACTTATGAGCACCATCACTGTGGACTGCTTATCATTTCCTACACTATAAAATTGCAGGTTCCAAAATATACACTGGGGACTGGCTTTATATTTCCTAAACTATTTAAAATTGGGGCAGGTTCCAAAATATATATATATATATAATATAATATATATTATATATATTATATATATGAGAACTGTTCTTTGGTATATAAGCTTAATCATCTACCTATATATATATATGAGAACTGTTCTTTTGTATATCAGCTTAATCATCTACCATAAGCTCGTGCGTGGCACTCCTTGCTCGTGGAGCGCCATACCGAAAAAAGAAAGGTTATAAAGTTGAATGATAAAGAAAACCAAACATCTTAAAAGCCAAAATATAGGAAGCAAACAGTCCATGTTTTAAGATGAAATCAGAAAAGATGTACACTCTATGTCTTAGAAAGAATTTCATCTTTGACCCGGCAGAAAGTTAAGAAAATACATAAGATAGTAAATTTCAATCACTAAATTTCAAATTTTGCAATCTCTTATAAGCAATTTTAATTGAAAGCACTAGCAAAAGATGATACAGGAAAGTGAACAAGCATGCAGCTTTGACTTTTGATTTTAGATAAACAATTTGAAATGGACAAGAAAAGGAAAATAACTTTCTTCAAGAGGCTGAACAGGAATTTCCAGTAATAAAAGCACCAGAGTTTTTTCCCCATTTTCTCTGTTGCACGAAGGTGTTGTTTGTTCTTTTATAATAACAAATCTATCTTGCCAACGCAAGAAAAGATTATGCACTAAAAAATATACTAGCATAAACTTTATTCTGTCAACTACAAAATATTAGCATAAACTTTATTCTTCAAATGTCACAAGCATTCATGAGAAATTGTAGTTCAGTACATACCTATTACTTTGGCGAAAATCATAGCCAAATCCAAACAAAGTTTTTCCCTCTTGAAAACCCCAAGTGATCATCTCAACAATCATATCATGAAAATAGTAAACACAATCGCGTCCTATGACCTACAAATTCCAAAAAAACATATTTGAAAATGCTTCATAGTTTATTTTCAACACTATGCATAACTAAAAACTAGTAAATAAAACAAAAATGTGACTGTTACATTCAATATATTCTCTGGGGTTTAATTGCATCTAAGCCACACTTGTTCAGCTGATATGATTAATAGTTGGTAAAAAGAAGTTAAAAAAGACAAACTGTACTACTTAATAGGTTAAGCAGGTTTTCAAAATGAAACTAAAACCTTGTACTACATAAGCATAAGAAGCAAGAAGACAAAAGGTACCAGGTCAGGATCCAAGACATCAATTGCATATAATCCATATCTGTCCTCAGGAACCACAATTCTTGTGTTTGGATCTAAAGACTCAGTTCTACCTGTTCCATATAATCAAAATAATTATACGAAAACTTCAGATAAACTGACTTGAGCAAATCTTTTAAATTCAAAATTATTATCTTAGCAGCAACAATATACCTGTAGAAGGATTGAAGCGCGACCAAAGCTTAGTGCGAAACGTGTAATCGGCTCTAAGAATTCGAACCCAAACGCGTTCATCCCTTTTATCGTTGTCATTGTCCACCGCCTTTAGAATGGAACCGGCGACGCCAGGCACCAACAAAACCGGGTCGAGATTCGGATCCGCATAAGGTTGCGGTTTCTTCCTTATAAGCTTCAGCCATAGCTCTACCGATTGCACAATGTCCTCTAGCAACACGGCCATACCCAATTAAAGAGAAAAAAAAAACAAAATTCTCGTAAAACAGAGACGTTTTGTCACTGATTGGGGATTGAATAGTGGCAATTTTGGAGGGGAAAAAGATAAATTTAGGGTAAATAATTGGAGATTTTGGAATTTATTATGGATAATTTGGGATTTGATAATGAGCCGTGAAGCTAAAGGAAAATGGAAGTAAAGCTCGTTTTGCCCACCGTTATACGGAAGCTAACAAGAAGACGATATAACTGTACTTTTCTTTAATTTGTTTTATTTTATATAACTTGACACTTTATTTGGAAAGGAGTGGACGGAAAACAATGCAGTAATGAAAATAATGGGAAATTTTGTCATTTTTCTGTATATTGTTATTTTTTACCTATGTATTTGCATATAATGAAAAGGCAAAAATAAATTAAATTTATGTAGAGGGTAAAACTTGAGGGGAAAAACTATTATTATAAAAATAGACAATTGTACTTTTATTTATTTTTCTATATCTATTTATTTATTTATATTATATATAGATATGGATATAGAAATAGATAGACGTGAATATAGGATAATGAGATTTTTAATAATAGCCTTGATGAAATTTAAATTTTAAATATGTTAAAATAATCTTAGTAATAATGAATTATTTTATTAGTTGATTGGCATATAATTTTATTAAAATTATTTTTTAAATAAATGCATATAGATAATTAATCATTTCGAAATTTTAAATTTTATCTTTTTTTAAATTTAATTTTTAATATATTATGATAATGAGACTTTGAAAATTTTTATATTTTATTTTTTAAATATTTGATTCTGTTTTTATTATAATTTAAAATATTTTATTTAGAAAGGATATTAAAAAAAAAAGAAAAAGAGTCTTTTTTTTATAATATTCTGTATATATTAATCTTATATGAAATTTATAACATTATAAAAATCAAAATAATGTAAGACAATAATTATAATATTTTATTTAGGAGATAGATAAAAAAAAGAAAAAGTAATTTTTTACAATATTTTTTATATTCACATTAATTTCATTTGAAATTTTATGTTAATATTATAAAAATTTAAATAATATAAGACGAAGATTATAATTAATATTTAATATTAATAATAATAATAATTAATAAAAACAAGTAAAAATAAGCAATGACATACAAAAATTAAACAAGTACAAATAAAAAGTATAGTTAAAATGCAATACACGTCAAGACTAGTAAATAATAAAATGTGGTTTTAGTTATTCTATAATATTCGGGTAATTTAATAAAGATAAATAGAAATTCTTATTTCTTACAGTATTTTCTTTTTAAATTGATGAAATTCAAAATACGTAGGCTTGAATAAAAAATTAGTGAAATATTATTTTCTTTAATATTTTGTTCTTCCTCATAAATGCCTTTATCTAGAATTTTTTTCATGGTTATTTTCCTCTCTTTAAGAAAATATTCTGATCCAAACAAAGATTAACACTGCTTTTGGTAAACAAACGTAAGATGAATAGTTTTGTAATAAAGTTTCAAATCATTTAAGTTTGTGAAATTCATTTGGAAATTTTTTTTTTTTTTGTAGAATTTCATTTAATTATATTTAAATCTATAGAATTGAATTCTTCATTTTTTTTATACAAACACAAAGATTTGGATTTATAAGAAACTTCCATCAAATTTTGTGAAATTCATTTATTCCAAATAAAAGGATAATTTTTTTTTTCCTTTCAATATTCATAGTGTCTAAAAAAATTATCGAATGCATTTGACGACAGTTATGAGAGTATAATTGGAAACTAATCATGATCGAGCATGGGAATTGAATTTAAGTAGTATTAAATCAATATTATTTACATTAATTTAGCGGTAAAATACATAAATTTACTCTTATTACTTTTTATAAAAATATCTTCAGCATTTTCAATTTTTATATTGACCATTAAGTACATCAATTTATCAAATTATACTTCCTCAATATTTTAATATTTTGATAAATTGATGGATTAAACACTTATTGAATAGTTAAAAAAATTAAAATTATTTTTTTCTAAAAGTTGTACAACCACATAACAAACTAATATTTATAAATATAAATTAAAAACTCTAAAAAGTTTACAATATTATCGAAGTTCTTAACTTTAAGACAAGACAAATCCCCTGGTGAAACAACTCAAATTTATATTTTCAAAGATTTTTCAATTAAATTTAATGTACCGACAGCCTGGAAAATTCATAGTAATATTTTAGTGCGAGCACTGTGAGAAACCGAACCGAAAACCAATTGAAAAAGCCATAAACCAATTGAAAATCGAAGATTTGGGCCGAATTGAATCGAATCGAACCGGTTCGACCCAAACCATCTAGAATTTTCTTTTTCCTCTATTTCTAGCACACACCTCACTCCCCCTCCCCCGTTCCTGCGATTCTTGACCACCGGCGACACCACCTCCAACCACCACTCCTCCTCCACTTCCTCTTTCCTTCTTCTTCTTTTCTTTCTTTTCTTTCCTTTCCTTTTCTTTTCTTTTCTTTCTTTCTTCTTCCCTACCGTTGTGCTGCGCCTGCAGGTTGGAGCAGATCGACCACCGCACGCCATTGCTGTAGCTCGCCGCCGCAAGTCGCACCTCCACAGAGCAGCTCCACATCGCGCCGGCAAGCTCAGATCGCGACTGCTGCTCCTCTGTCGCTCCTACAGCAGCACCACAGCCCTGTCAAGGTGCTGCTGCCACTGCCGCCGCTCCAGCACGTCGATCGGTCACCTCCGCCGATCCCACAGCAGCCCTGCCGCTGCTCCAGTGCACCTCCGGCCACTAGCCTCCACCTGCTCTTCATTCCGGCACGTGTAGCCTCCATTTCTGGTCAAATAATTCCAGCAGCAATATTTATTGGGTATAATTTAATTTTAGTAATTTTAGATAATTAAATAGATTTTATTATTGTAGTTAATTAATTTAGTTAATTTAATTTAGGAATTGTGAGTAATTAATTGATTTATAATATAAATTTTGATTAATTAAAATCCTTTGATTAATTAGAGCCAATTTAAAATTAGTACCAAATAATTTATTGAGGAATTTTGATAATAATATTATAAATGGAATGAAATAAGGAATTGAGAATTGAAGGTAATGTTGATCTTGTTCTTTGGATGGAGGATGGGAAAAATTTTATTTGATTGCCCGACGGATGGGCCGTATGGATTGAGTTGAATATTTGTTATATTGTTGATATTTTAACAGGTGGATAGTTCAATTTTTAGGGGAGATGTTGCCGAAATTTCGGCAGAAATTAAATTATTTATAGAAGTCAAATATGTAGATAATTTACTTGAGCGATTCTTGTATTTCCTATTTGTCTGACGTAGTCATTTTTTTTCCGTGTCCTATTCTTAAATTCTTTAGATCGCTCGGATCCATGTAGTGCTCCTCCAGGACAGAATCAAAGCTAGAACTTCGCTTTCCATCACTGTGAGTGATAATAAATAATGCCGATCAACATGCATTTGCATAGCATTTTTTTTTTTTACCTTATATATATATTTTTATATTAAACTCATATTTATTTTATATTGTATAATTGTATATTTGGATGGATTTGGTGTAATACGTTGAAAGAATTGTTTGATTATTTGTGCTGTTTAGATCGCTCGATCCATGTAGTGCTCGCTCCATGGACAGAATCCAAAGCTAGAACTGTTCGCTTTCCATCACTGTGAGTGATAATAAATAATGCCGATCAAACATGCATTTGCATAGCATTTTTTTTTTTACCTTATATATATATTTTTATATTAAATCATTATTTATTTTATATTGTATAATTGTATATTTGGAATGGATTTGTTGATATTAAATAATGTTTGATTACCTGTGATGTGATATTGCTGTGCCTTGTTTGTGTGGAATTGGGATGATGTGGACCACCATGGATTTGTGAGGACGGTATATGTGATATGGATTCTGAATATGATATGATATGGAGTTTGACCGTCAGCCGGGAAATGGGAGATCGGCCCCCCCGTGTGCACCTGATGATATGGATTATATGGAAAACCATAGGATGGCTTCTTGTTGTTGCGCACCTGATGATCTAGATTTGATTGTAGCCCACAGGGTGGCCTCTTGTTGTGAGCACTTGATGATCTAGATTGGATGGAGACCACCGGGTTGCCTCCTGTTGGCATTTTTTTTTTTAAAAAAGAGAGAGAATGGAAAAACAATGAGAGGACTGGTCAGTGAGGATTAGACCAGTTGGCCGTATGGGGGTCGGCTCCCTGCTGCACATGTATGAGAGGGCGAGCCATGTGTGAGGACGGCTCGTTGGGGTTTTAGGTGGTGCCACTGACTAATTCTGACTAATTTCCACTTACTTGATTACTTGAAGGTGACATTACTTGTGGGTGCTAGTGTTGTGCCAGGTGCTAGTGTTGTGCCATATGAATGACTGTAGTATGCTCATTTTAGAATATTAGGGTGCATTTTGCGTGACTGTATGTGGTGTGTATTATTTATTATTACTCACTAAGTTGCAAAACTCACCCCCCACCCCCCCTTCTCTCCAAACTTCTCAGGTAGTAGGAAGTTGCTGATCCAACAGAAGCTCTGTCATTTTCCTCGCGGAGCTACAAAAGTAAATTTATAACTTTTGTTATTATAAGTTGAGAATTGTATTATTAATTATATGCACTACTCTATTTTCAAACTATTGTTGAACTCCGCAGTTGTAGGGTCATGTATTTTCAATTGGGCTTGCCGTATGTGTTACCTTATATATAGTTTGTTGTGGGCTTGCCGTATGTGTTACCTTATATATAGTTTGTTGTGTTATTAGGTGCAGGTGAATCAGAATGCCATATTATGAATGTGATTGATTATGATTAGGCCCAGACTACACTTGTTTGAGATAATTAAAATTGGGCCGAATTATGTAACATTTATATCCTAATTTGTATGGGCTTACTGTTCCTACTAAATGATGTGCTATGCTTGAGTTTAGTAGTTTAGGTTTACTACGGGCCTCGGAGGCTTTAAGTTTACCTGGGTCCTAGTGCCGGTCCGGCCCACAGAAACGGGTCGTGACACTTGGTGTATTACAAGATTTTTTTTTGTAGAAAGTACATGAACGAATTTATATATTTACTTTGATTATTTATTTAAAAAAATTAACTTATTGTCATTATTTATTTAATTTTATGACAACTTATACTTATAGAGTATCTTCATTGGTTAAATTAGTTTTTAAAAGTTGATTAAATTGAATTTTTCTAAAGATAAGGTTATTGTCATTGTTCGCTTTTTTTTATTTTATTGGTGCTTCTTTTCTATGATAGCATGCTTCATAACAAATGTTCTTTGGAAGCTTTTTCTTTTCTTTTTTTTTTGTTTGAATAAAAATTATCTAAAAGCTTGATATACAATACATAAGCAATATAACTTTATTTCCAGAAATTTGCTGACCCCTAAATCATATAGCTTTTCTTCCATTGCCTTTTTTTTTTTAATTTGTCTTTTTTCTTTTTTCTTTGAGAATGTTGTTTATTTGAATTGTTGCTTGCAAGAATTGTTATGGTTTGAAATTCACAGATGTTTAATGCAATTAAAATAAATATTTGACAGTAATAAGCCTGTTATAATCTTCAAAAACCAAATGGACTGCATTTGACAACACAAACATTATATGTATAGGTAAAGATTGAGCGTTCATGTGGCCAGTCGTTTTAATAATTGTTACTACAAGCCTCAAGCCATGTGGACTTACTAATGAATGTAGAATACATGGCAAAGGGTTGTAATATTAGGGAAGTTAAAGGTAAAGATGTAAGTGTCTATTGAAAAGGAAGTTTTTGAACATTGGGTAGAGCTTATTGGTGCAAGCTTCTACCGATAGGTTGAGAACCTGAAAGGATGGAACTTTTATTAAAAAGTTTGAAAATTTTTAAAAATCGTAGAGTAGAGAGTGGAAAGCTTTGGTGTTGCTAAGGCGTTGGCTGAGTGAACGAAACGTAGGTTAAGAAGCAGGTGGACATTTTGAGTAAAAGCTTCTAAGTAGGCATGGCCGGTTCATTGAATCACCGGTTCCAGTTCACGAAATTAATGATTCAAAATTTTTAAAATGTAAAACCTAAATTAGCCCTTGAACCGTCGGTTCTGATAAACCAACAGTTTCGATCACAGTTTTCGGTTATATATATATCACAGTTTTCGGTTATATATATATATTATTATATATTTTTAAAAAATCGAATTCTAACGTTACATCTTTCTTTTTGAAAAATATTAATATGAGTTTAAAAATATTTATAAATTTTATTTTAAATAAATTTTAGAATGCTCATACTCATATAAAATAAAATGTAATTAGTTTTTTACCAAAATAATCAAATAAGTTGTCACTTTATTTTGTTTAAATGTTATTTAATTAAATAAATTATAAGAAAATTTTGAAAAAATTTTTCAAAAAGAATATAATTTTAAACTTAGTAAATAATTTAAAAAAGGTAAAAAAATTAAAAAACAACATAAGTTTTTAGACTAAATATTTCTCTCTTTATTAAACCATTTTACTTTTAGAATTTTTAAGCTTTTAAAGTAAAGTGTATTTAAAAAAAAAAAAAAAAAAAAAAAAAAAAAAAAATCTTAAGTAACGTATATCATATAGTAAAAGATTATTGAGACTTTTAGAGATGTATAAAATAGGCTAAGTGATTATTATTTTGAAAACAAAAATAGAAAATTCCCGGTTCGAACCGGATCAGAACTGCTGGTTCAGGGCCAGTTCAGGTTCAGATTCTAACATTCATGTGAACCTTAATAGGCCCTTGAATCGCCAGTTCTGGTTCAAAATTTTGAACCGAAGGATCTGGTCTGATTTTGATTCATTTACAGTACGGTTCAATTCCGATTCAAAATGAACCGTTGGCCATGCCTACTTCTAAGTAAGCTTAGAATGGAAATGCTAAATTAATTTTTGAATAAACTTTAATGCTAAATAAATTTAAAGAGTAGAGTGAATGAATTCCTGAATAAGTTCTCTTTAATAAAATGTTGATTCAGAATGCACTTAGGTATACTAGTATTTTTTGTGACGTGACGTTATTATTATTGAGTATAACTCATTGTTTATACTCATTAATTATTTTTATATAATATTAAGTATGATTATAATTTTTCTCTTATATTTTCTAAATATTTATATAATGTTAAGATATGATTTTACGTATAACAACTTTAAATTAAAATTTATTCCTGTTTAAATAATATTCATATTGTAAGCGAATAATATTTCTTAAACTAATTTTAATATGATAAGATAACATTAAAAGCCAAGTATATTTAATAAAATAATTATAGATGATAAAATAAAAAAATTATTATTAATTATAAGATTAGACTTTAATTTTTTTGAAAATAAGATTAGACTGCTTAAATTTTTTTGAAAATAATAAGTTTTAGAAACTTTAAGTATCATTGATTTCTTTTAAAAAAAACTAAATAATATGAATTAAACAGTATATTTAATAAAATAATTATAGATGATAAAATAAAAAAATTATTATTAATTATAAGATTAGACTTTAATTTTTTTGAAAATAATAAGTTTAGACTTTAAGTATCATTGATTTCTTTAAAAAAACTAAATAATATGATTAAACTCGTTGATTTCTTTAAGCTTCGCCGTCGAGCAAAACATGCGAAGCACTAGAGTCCATCCACTACCGTTGATTTCCAGACCAAAAACTCGTTTGATTTTAGACCGAAAATCGACGAACCAGCCGCTGTCGGAGGTGAACCTGCGTCGGGGACCTTCACATGGCTCGCCGTCAACGGCGCTGCCGGTCGTCCTGTTCTGGCCCAGGTCCTGGTTTGTCAGCAGCGCTGCGTGTTCTTCGTGTTCTTCACAAAGAACGCGACTCCAGATTTAACAAAAAAATTTTTTAATTAAAAAAATTAAATTGTTTTCATGATACAGATTTCAGCGTAACTGATTTCCTTAAAAAAAATACACCAGAAATCAATAAACAAATTTCATAAAATCTGTATCTAAACAATTAATAAAAAAACTTATCATGTATATAATCAAGTAATCAAATAGAAACTAAATTATATACAAGATATAATCATCATGTACCTTATGAAAGATAAAATAATCGAAAGAAAAAACGATAAAAAGAATATAACAGGTGAAGAGGCCACCTTTATGTTAGTTTAGAATCAATTAATGGGAGCTAGGAAATATTTAGCGGAAATTAAGTAAGATCGAAACAAGTACAAAAGCAAACTAAACACAAATCATACAAGAATTAATTTGTTGTAGCACAAATTCGCTTACTTGTGTTTTTTTTAGATATCTTCAAGTTACCCTCCAGCTTTCTATCATGTGATCTTAATTGATTTTATGAATCCTATTTTTCTGAGTGGATAGAAAAAACACAATTACATCTGTTTCTTGAGAGACTATTACATTTTTTTTTTGAATAATCTGTTATCTCAAAACAACGCGTATTCAAAAAAATAACAATCACTCTTATCCGCGTGGAAAACAAACGATAAGATTAATAATTCTGTTACCCACGCGGTTGATATTTTAAATAAAACATATTATCCCTATTTTAATTAAAAAATTAATAAATAAAATTAATCTATTAAAAATAAAAACATGTTATCCTTTTTTAATTAAATAAAATTTTAATTAAAAAATTAATCTATTAATTATTTGAAATACATAACCCATATACGGTCCAAATAATTAAGGCATAACAGGAACAATAACACTACAAATTATAATAAGAACCCATACAGGACTAGTATATTCTGATTATAATTAATCATAAATTATTCCACTAAAAATTTATGATTAAACTCCTTATTAATTTAATTTTTCAGTACATAATAGTTTATGTTCTCCATGTAAAGAGTACAGATATTTGTCAAATAAAATAAATTACTGATAATTTATTTAAATAAAATTTTAATTTTTAAGATTGTCGCTATTTTATTTCATGTGTCGGTTTAAAAATTCACCTGTAGGGTTTACACAATGAAACATTATAAGCTTACTTAAAATACATCATCATTCTCTAAACCGAGACATGAATTTTATCATTAATTAATATTTTATAAATACAAATTGTCTTTGCCCAATTCACCGAGAATTATTGTCCCAATAAATGAAACTCATTGTTTAATGAATTATAAAGCACAAAGCAATGTATACTTACTCATATTAATTAAATCAAGATTAAGAACATAAATCTTATTTCTAATGTCCTAGATAATATATTTTAAAAGTCAGTTTAAAACAACAATTTTCTACTTGATCAAGTTAGATATATATAACATATACTAACACTATTATAATAAAATCTGCTGAAAATTTTATTCATTTAACGCAAATCTTCAACTAAATACATAGAAATAATTATTCAAAGAAAAAAAAAATCTAAACTATACTATACTGCACGGTTAATAGTATATCTCTATCAATTTGAGGTGTTGTCAATATTGTATCAGGAATGATGTATATATACGATTGCAAAAAATGAAAAAAATCGTACCAAGAATGTTGAGGTGGTCTTGGAAGAAGAAAACAAATTGGGAAACACTCAACGACACTTCAAGCAAAGGAGGTAAGATACAATCCTTTTATTAACTTGTTCAAAACTTTAAACAGTATGCAAATGGAATATAACGTAAATACATGTATACAAGCCTTTTTTTACATATACATATCTGCAAATAATTTGAATTGGTACATAAAGTAGATATATGT